CGCAACCCACAGAGCCAGCACAATCACTGAACACTTCAAGCGGCACGCCTGCATTACCTTCGGACGGAGGCTCCGAAAACCGAGCCAACATGTGAAACGCGTAATCCTCCCCGTCCCGCGCCCACTGCTCGGGCCCCCAAGCCCTCGGAACCACCCCATACATGCAAGCAACAAAATTGCCGGCTTGGTCCACCTGCACGGCCGCCCAGCCCGCGCGTCTACAAGAACCGTGCTTAGTGCTGAAGGCCGATCCGTCCACGAAGATGGGCCCCCCCCAGAGCCACCCAGGATGGGCGCCCACAAACCTGACCCAGTGCTCCTCAGGAGCCTCAGGTCGGCCAAAACAATACCCGGGGGAGGGGAAGAGGCAACGCGAGAAAAGCTCGGCCTCGTCAGCACCCAGCTTGCTCACTCTGCTGGCTGCGACACCAAGCGAATTAGGCATGTCCGTGCGCCTGAGGCCAGCAGAGCACGGGCAGTCGAACCCCCTATGGAAGAGAGTGCCTACACAGCCACACAGTTTGCACTGGTCCGAGATAGACCGCCCGTGGCGGTGCAAACGCGCTTGCGGCCAGTGGGTCCCCGAGACCAGGCTGCGAACAAGGTTCCTGCCGTGCCGACTGAGTCCCAGCCCCGGCTTCCCGAACAAGATTTTATCAAGAGGTCTCCAATTCAGAACAGAGCGCCAGCACTTATATTTACTGATGGACACAATATCGTTGGCAGCGACTGCCATGTATTTCACCGCCGCCACCGCCCTACCGGGGGAGAAAAACCTGAGGTCGACCACCTCTCCGCCTGGCCCGACAAGTTCCGTGGCTGACCTCATGCTGGCCCCTATTCTGGCAAGCACGAGGTGGAGGGCCTGGGCAGGGTTGCTGCACTGACTCCAGGGGGCCCTGGACTTCAGAATGCCGCGAGACTGCTCAAGCACCGCTTCCAAGACCGAGAGGGCTGGAAGGGAGGTCTCGACACACATGGCCCAAGCATGCATGACCTCCCCAACGTGGACGACCGCGGGGTCCCTCCAGAAGGCTTTGTACATCGATCGGAGCCTCAGTCCGACGTTGGCACCTGCGGGAAGTCGACCTTCCGAACGAAGGGCGCCGACCCGTAGCCCATGAGGTGGAGGAGGAGGAGGAGGAGGAGGAGGAGGAGGGGGAGGAGGAGGAGGAGGAGGAGGAGGAGGAGGAGGAGGAGGAGGAGGAGGAGGAGGAGGGGGAGGAGGAGGCGGAGGAGGAGGAGGAGGAGGAAGAGGAGGAGGAGGAGGACGAGGAGCCCTTGGCCCCCGGGAGGAGCCGCTCGCACGCAAGAGAGAGCGACCTTCCGCGCGCGGCCTCCGGGGGGCCGCGCGTGGGCCCCGTCCAGGCGCGCAGGCGCCAGGTGCTCGGGGAGCCCCGTGGGCCCCCGCACCTGGCAGGGCACTCCGTCGATGGGGCCCCTTTCACGCGTCGAGCCGAAGAGGGCGCGGGGCACTCCGTCGACTGGCCCCTTCCATGCCCATCCCCATCCCCATCCCCTTCGGGACCCCCGCCAGAGCACCCCCCCAGTTGGGGGACACACCCCTCGAAGTCCGAAGGGCACGACCCATGTCCCCATCTGGGGGGGTAAATCGGCCAGTGGGGCCGAAAGGGGCGCGGGGCCTCTCCCGGAACCTCGGGGCCCGACCGGCGCCCGGGCAGGGCGCTCGGGCCCCCCTCCCGGGCGGGGAGCTGCCAGGGCGGGCCTCGCCGCCTGCTGCTGCTGCCGAGATGCCCCTCCCCTCTTCCCCCCTCCTCCTGACCCCGGCCCATCGTCCGCATCCTCCTGCGACCCTCCCATCATCCTCCTGAGCATCTTCCTCCTCCTCATCCTCGCCCCTAGAACTCTCAAGCAGACCCCAGTGGCCCCAGGACATCCCGGACTCCTGTAACTCTGCCTTCGTCTGCTCTGGCTTATCATCTCTAAGTTATCCTCAACACACAATTCCTCCTCTTTCTCGCTCGTCCTCGTCCCATACTGCCTCGTCGCACCACCGGACGTGTCAGGGCGTTCCAGGCGTTTGCACTGAGACGCCGTCACACAAAGCTTCGCGGATGGAGGCTCATTGGCTTAATTTGGACTCTGGCCTGTTCCTGCACGCATCCGCACACTGTGCGGCTATGAGGACACACGACTTCCTTGGTGGGCGAAGGGGGTTCAAACTCTGGCCCTCGCTGGAGACATCTATTCCTCCAACGGCCCCCTTCCTCTTCCCTCTTCCTCCCCTTCCCTCTTCCTCCCTCCAGCCCTTCTCCCTTCCTCATTCCTCCTTCCTCTCCCTCCCTTGCTCCCTTCCTTCGTTCCTTCCTTCCTTCTTTCCTTTCCTTTCCTTCCTTCCTGCCTTTCTCCTTCCCCCCTCGTTCTGCCTCCTTCCTCCTTCCTTCCTCCCCCCCCCATCCTCCCCTCCCTCCCCGTCCTCCCCTCCCGCCCCACCCTTCCCTCACCTCCCTCACCCGCTCCTCCCCCCTCATCCTCTCCCTCACCATCCTGAAGGGGCCCCAGGACACACAAATAAATACACACAACTAAAACTATTCCCCATACTTTCCTACATGTTCTGGGTTTTTGTCTTCCCCCCCACTTCCCATATTTCCCATCTTTTCCTGGGAATCGACGATTAACTGTGTCTGTGTGGTTTTTCCCCTCCTGACATCCTCCCTCCCCCCCAACAAAAAAACAATAAGTCCCCCCCCGCCCTTCCCCCCACCCCCCCACCCCGCGCCCCTGCGGGCGGACGCCGCTCCTCCCAGTCCGTGCGCTGCCCCGGCGCCAGCGACCACGGCTTCGGCCTCGCCCGCGGCCCGCGGAGGAGGGGGGGAGGGAGGGGGCGCGGAGGCAGCAGGAGGAGGGGGGGGCGAGGAGGGGGCGAGGAGGGGCGAGGAGGGAGCAGGAGGAGGGGGGGCGAGGAGGGGCGAGGAGGGGCGAGGAGGGGCGAGGAGGAGGAGGGAGGGAGGGGCGGGTAGGGAGCAGGAGGAGGGGGGGGGGGGGAGGAGGGGGGGGGCGAGGAGGACGAGGAGGGGCGAAGAGGGAAGGGCGGGGAGGGGGCGAGGACGGGATGCCTGGGAGCAGGTAGGGGAGGGGGGGGGAAGGAGTCGGGGAGCAGAAAAATCGCGCAGGCAAAACCGATCGGAGTTCCGTGCGGATTTCTTGGACCAGCGCTGGACCCCCTTGGCGGCGCCTCCAGCGACGCCCCTGGCGTTCGCCGCGAGCCAGGGGGGGTCCAGCGCCGATCCAAGAAATCCGCGCAGAGCTCCGAACACTTGTGTTTATGCCATTGCTTGTTCCCCGAGGGTGGGGAGAGCGGGGCGGGGAGGGCGGGGCGAGGGGGGCGGGGGCGGGGAGGGAGGCTGGGCGAGGAGGGCCAGAGTGGCAGCACATGCTCCGCGCAGGTGTGCACATGTCATGCTATTATGGGGGTTGCTTCGTAGAAAGGGCGGCTGGGCGAGGAGGGGAGGGAGGGAGGGAGGGAGGGGCGGTGAGGCTGCATGCCTGCGTCGCGGCGGGGGAAGCCCGCGGCGGGGCGCCGCTCGGTCGCAGCGGCCAGGCAGAGGGCGAAGCGGAAGGAGGTCCACTGCAAGGCACCGCCGGCGGCAGGAGAGGACACGGCACGCCCAGAGCAACGATTGCTCGATGCCTGACGGTGGCAAAGCTGTAAAGAACGACCACCCCGAGATCGTGCCGGATCCCCTGGTGACTGATAGTGGTTGGGGGAGATGCTGCTGCCCACGCGGGCCGAATATCTGCGACGGAACGGGTAGGGGGGGGGGGGAACGAGGCAACATCACAAGCAGCACGTTCGGGAAGAGGAGAGGGAACGAGCGGGAGGCGGGAACGGCAGAGAGAGGCCAGCGCGGCGCAGACGCCGTGGTGCCGTGCTTGCACTCGGGGCGGGGCCGCTGGGCCTGCCGGGCCAGTGCACGACCCGCACCACGCCGCCCGCAAGCGACAGCTCCTGGCCGGGGCGGAGTCGGTCAGGCATCCGCCCACACGCCGGACAGACACAAACGCTGGCCTACGATTTATTTTATATATATATATATAAAAAAAGGCACGGTTCACGCCGAGTTATTTAAGCTTGATTCGGAAGGCGGTCGACCTCTCGGTCGAGCAGTTCTCAACTCGCCTCGGCGCGTCCTCTGCCCTTCTTCACTCGGGAGCACCCATCTGCCACGCGGGGTGCCAGGTGCACGCGCCGCGGGCAGCGCTCCACTGGGAAGCGGCCGCCGACAACGCTGGCCTACGATTATGTTGCTCCCATCGTACCTGAGGACCACATCCCAGAGACCATTGCGAGCACACCGAACAATATCGAAACGGTGTCGAACGAGTATCGCGTCCCAGGGCCCGACGCGTGAAAACATACTTGTGATCAAGGCTGCAGCAGGCTGGAACATCATAAGCCTACGGGAAAGACCAATGGCACATGAAATCGATAATCTGGTAATGGGCTCCTGGGACCTACCCCATTAAGTCGGGCATGTCCTCCAACAAACGGATGTTGGACGAAAGCTTGAAACATACAAGACAAATATGCAAAAATTGTCAAAACAAATGTCTCCAAACTATGTTTGGACTATTTTGGGCTACTCCTGTAGAGGAGCACGCCCGACTTAACAATAATCTGGTCCTGGGCTCCCGGGACCTACCGCTTGGTCTGAGATGAACTGGGCGATCGCCTCGTGCCCACGGGGCCACAGACCCTGTTTCTGGCCAAGGGCCCAACAGCAAGGTGGCCAGGGGAAGCTGCTGCGAGGCCCTACGCTACTACGCGAAGCAGAACCCAGCCTCCACAACGAGGAGCATGGATGCTCACAAGCGTTCGGACTTGGGGGGCCCTGTCCACTCTGAGGCCACTGCCAAACCTTTAATCGATCGGAATCTGTGTCGTACTGCAAGCAGGGCTTCGATTAGCAGTTTGTCCATGCGGCATTCGGGTGAGTGTTCCAACTTCTCGCCGCCGAGATATCCTCGGATAGTGTCAAAGGAACTGCGCGCGCATGTGTTCAAGAATTTTGAACCTGTCATCTGGAATCATGATGGCATCCTGGGTCCGGGAAGGACGCTGGGGAGGAGTACAAAGACCACGGATCCCTTGGCAAATCCTGACGGCTCCCTACGAATCCTCCTGAAGTCCTCCGGAGCCCAAAGGATTTCACAAAGGAGTCATTCGGACTTCCTGGGGAACCTCAGAGAACTCTTCTGGAATCCTCCGGATGCCGCGAAGAGTCCCCAGGACTTCCTAGGATCCTACGTATGGTTCCCATCGGAGTCCAAAGGAGTTCCCTCAGGAGTTCGAAGCATTCTCGCAGGATTGTGGACAAATTCCTACATCCTGACGACTTTTGAAAGAATCCGCAGGGTCCAGAGGAACCCTCATGATTCACTCCGGCGGCCGAGGCATATCCTGAGGAGTCCTCCGGATATCCGACCGAATCCGAAATGGAAACGAACAATACACATTAACGGCCAGTCGGATAATGTAAGAAATACGAGGGCAACAAGGCGGAGTACAAGGAGGGGGGGAAGGGGGACAAAACAGCTGAGCAGGAGAGAGAGGAGGAGGAAGAGGAGGGGACTATTCAAGTTCCCTCTTCATAGGCCCCTACGATTGTTCTTTTCGACAAGGGGAACTGCCTCGTTGGAAGACAACCGTTTGAAGTCCCAGAAGCATGCCGAACCATTGCTCCCGGGATTCCAACGCCACGGATCAACCTGACTGTTGCGGCTTCAAGATCCTGAATCGTGCCAGAATGCCATTCCTGGGACTCCCGCACCGTGGGTTAACGTAACAACTGCACCCTCATAATCCTAAATCCTTCCATGTCACAAATTCTTGGTATGCTGACCATGGGAATCCGTGAAACGAGTGCAAGTTTTGAAATCACAACGAAATTGCGCGGCGCTAAGGCGCGAAGCACATTTAGAATAGGAGCCGCCCTCAATCCGCGAGACAGCACTTTGTTCAAACGAATGTGCGCGGCACTGAGGCGAGAGCCACATTTTGAAAACGACCCGCCCTCAATCTGTGAACCGCTTGCATTTTGTACCACGAATATACGCGGCGCTTGGGCGCGAGCCACATGTTGAAAACAACCCGCCCTCACTCCTTGAAGCTCTTGCCAATGTTTAAAGCGAATGCGCACGGCGCTAAGGCGAGAGTGACATGTTGAAAACGACCCACCCTCGATCCGTGAAGCTCTTACAAATGTTGCAACAAATGTGCGCGGTGCTAAGGCGAGACAAATTTTGAAAACGGCCCGCCCTCAATATGTGGAATTTCTACTACACATGTTGAATGTACGCGGCGCTAAAGCGTGAGCCACATTCTGAAAACGAGCCGCCCTCCATGTTTGAAACTGTTGTCATTTTTAAGCTACAGGGTCATAGGTGGTGAGGATAGCTTAGGAGGGCCTCCAGAGATACCCAGGACGGAAAAGGGGAGGAGCGGGTCAAGTACAACCAGGCCCCATCCATGGGAACAGCATCTTCCCAGCATGGGGGAGGAGAACAAAATGCCCCCACCCCCCTTATGGAAGGGTGCTGCTTCTGAGCCGTGTTGTCAGGGCTCGTTCCTTGGAGCTCTCGCGCCAGACCCACTCCCAAATGGGGAGGAGAAGGACAAGTATGCCAAAGAGGAGGAGGAGGACCAGTGTAAACCGCAGGATCATCAGCGATGTTGAAATAAACCCTCCCTCCAAGATCTGGCCCCTGTCCTTTTACACTGAGGGAATTGCCCCGTTGTGGAACAGCCGTGTGAAAATCCTGAAGCGTGTTAAAATACCATTCGCAAGACTTTCAACGCCACGAGGTAACCTGACTGTTACGCTTTGGCGATCCTGAACCGTGCCAGAACACCGTCCCTGAGACTTCAACACCGCGAATCGACGTAACTGCTGCGCCCTGACAATCCTGAGTCGTTCCAAGACACTATTTCTGGTACGCGGACCAAGAGAACAGAAGAAACGTTAGCACATATTTCAGACAAATGTGCGCGGCGCCAAGGCGGGAACCACATTTTGAAAAGGAGCCGCCCTCAATCCGTGAAGCTCTTGCATTGTTCAACGAATGTGCGCGGCGCTACGGCGAGAGCCACATATTGAGAACGACCCGCCCTCCTTCCGTGAAGCATTTCTTTAAGACGAGTGTGCTCGGCGCTCAGGCGAGAGCTACATTTTGGAAGCGACCCGCCCTCTATCTGTGAAGCTGCTGTCAATGTTTAAAAGCATCCAGATCATAAGTGGTCAGGAGGTCTCAGCCGAAACGCCCGGCCCGCCCTTTCGACCGACCCCGGGGTGCGACAGGGACGAGATACCTGCGTAGGAGGAGGAGGAGGAGGAGGAGGAGGAGGAGGAGGAGAAAGAGGGCGACGACTGGTCACGGGGGATCAGGAACCGCCCCCCGCGCGCCCGTGGCAACGGAACTCCTCGGAGCCGAGGGCTCCTCAGGCCCAGGAGGCGGCCATAGACGGGCCTCCCAGCTCCTCCAACGCTCCCCTGTTCCGGCGCGCCAACCTGGACGGCTTCGAGCGGAACGCCCTGCACATGTCCGAGACGTGCTCCACCGTCGGGTCGTGCGCCTCCGTGCCGAGCAGCCCGCCCAGCTCTGCGAAGCCGAGGCTCCGGAGGTTCGTCGCCCGGAAGTTGAGCGCCTGGTGGGCCGCCTGCGATACCTCCAACGTGGCGTCGTACCCGGCGCCGGCGCCCCGGATGCGGAACTGGAAGGCCTCTGCCTCCTGTCTGGCTACACGCAAGAGTGGCCCCGGGCAAGAGTGACCTTTGGTGAGCGGCTTTCGCGGGGGGTCAAACCCAAGCGAGCAGGCAAAGCCTGTCGCATCGCGTTCGGCGATCGGGGAACCCCAGTGGGCCCGCACCGAAGGTCCCTCCGGCGAGAGGTCACTCTTGCGCACAGCCGACCTGTGCCCTGCCGGCGTCGGCGTACACATGCCTCCACACGGGCACGAGGCGGACGCGCCCCGAGAGGCCACTGCCCTCCCTTCGGAGGCCCTTCCACTGCTGGTACTCGCCCGCTGGCGTGCTCTCGTCGCCACGCCGGGACTGGACCCGCACGGAGAAGGGGCGGAGCGTGCTGTTGCCAGCGCCGTTCGACCCTTCGACGTCGCGCCGGAGCGGCACGACGCGCACCACCTGGTCGCCCAGCCACTCGCCGCTCAGCTCCACGCCCTGGATGTAGAGGCCGCAGGGGCTGCCCGCGAAGGGGCGGACGGAGGCGTTCAGCTGGAGCTTGGCGGGGCGCCGCTGGTCCTCGGGGGCCCTGATCAGCACGTAGCTGCCGGGCATGTTGACGTCGAACTTCTGGCCGCTGAGGCTGACCAAGTGCGGGTCGTCTGTCGCGTGTTCCTCGTCCGTGGGCGCAGGTGTCGGATTCCTCGTTTTGTCAGCTGTCGGGGCGGTGGTAGGTGAGGGTGTTGGCGATACGGTCGGCAATAGCGTAGGTGAGCGCGTTGGCGAGGCTGTAGGTGTGGCAGTGAGGTCTGAGGCGTTGCAGCTGAGGGCCTTGATCACCAAGTTGACAGTGGGTATGGGGGTCGCGTCATTGGTGACACAACCAAAGCAGCTCGTGGCCGTCAGGAGGGACCACCTCGCCGCAGCGGACAGGGACCCCGCTGTTGGATACGCCTCGTACATCCTGGCTGCCAGTCCAGAGACGTGTGGGCAGGCCATGGAGGTGCCCGAGTTAGAGTAAGTGTGGGTGTCGCTCCATGGGCCCGTCGAGAGGATGTTCGTGCCTGGTGCATAGGTGTCGATGCAAGAACCCCAGTTGCTGTAACCAGACCTGTCCCATGAGTTCCCCGAAGTGCCACCAAAAGCTGCTACTGTGATCGCAGACGGGATCCAAGCCGGGTTCCACTTGCACGCGTCTTGGTTGTAGTTCCCAGCAGCTACCACCACGGTCACGCCAACAGCTACCAAGCTATCGATCGAGGCCTGCTCCGCGTAGCTGTTGTAGTTGGCCTGGATACTGATGCTGACAACTGCTGGTCTGTTCCCAGACGCTAGAATCCACTGCTCGGCTAGTATAGACCATGTGGTCCAGCCAGAGCCTTCGGACGCCCGAAATGGGTACGGAAAAAATGGGTACGATGCCCAACAAGAAATGTTGTCCCAAACCAACAGCGGCCGCTGCTGGGCGGGCGGCCTTCTGTCTCAAATGGACACAGGCCGCGGCGGCGCGGACAGCGAGTCCTGTTCAAAATGAGAAGGGACTACTGTTGGGCATCGTACCCATTCTTTCCGTACCCATTTCGGGCGTCCAGAGAGCCAGAATTATCGAGGACTTTCATTGCCCAAATGGACGCTCCATCTGCGACGCCATACGTCGAGGCCCCCACCGTGCCCGCGCAGTGGCTACCGTGCCCGTGCGCGTCTGCAGCGCACGTGTTGCTGAAGGGCGAGCACACCGTGAGCGTGCCCGGATACGTCCCCGAGGCGGCCACGTCGACTCCGGCGAAGGCCCGGCCACCGAACTCGCTGTGTGTTATGCGGATGCCAGTGTCCAATACGTACACGTGCACCCCCTTGCCCTTGCCCCGGCACTCGTCCGCCTCCACATACTGGATGCCCCATGGGTAGGCCAGCGTTTCGGCCTTGCGCGCTGGCCACGTACTGGACCTCGGTGTACTGGACAAGCCGTCTTGAACTTTCAACTGGTACTGGTCCTCTTCGACGAACCGCACACGCCCCGGGTACTTCTCCAGCACCGCATCGAGTGCCTCTTCCGTCAGGCTCCCCGCTACGAGCGGTATCTGGCCTCTGCTCGGCGTGGTGTGCTGCCCGTCGGGGAACTCCCCGCTGATGAGCGCTAGCTCGTCAATGGTGACATCGTCCGCCAGCACGAGCGACCACTGGCGCGCAACCCCCGCGTCCTCGCCGTCACTGCGAGGCAGGGTGTAGATCGTCTTAGGTCGAGCATGCCCTCCTACAGGCGGAATTTGGAAGAGAATGCATGAATAGTCAAACAGTTAACAGAAGTAGCCAGAAAAGCACGGATTGAACTACTCTTGAATATTCCTCCTGTAGAGGGACGTGCTCGACCTAAATAGGATCGGAGGATGGCCAACTGAGACAACGGCGGCTCTCTCCCCTCAGCCTTGTGTTGCATCGTTGGGGGACCTTCGTCTGCCCATCGCGCCAGCCGTCCGTGCTGCGCATGTCGAACGCGTCGAACCCGAGTCGAGTCCCTGCCGAATCCGTGTCGAATCCGTGCCGAATCCGTGTCGAATTAAAGGCGAGTCCGCATCGAGCCCGCGTCGGGCACAAGAAAGGAACACCAAATTTGGTGGACAGACGAGGCCATTCGAGGATGCAACGTCAGCGGCCCGAATCCTTTCAACATGGGAGCCTAGGCCTCTCCCGGGCTGCATCCTGACTCTGTCTCCGAGGCGGATCTGGCCGTGTCGCTTGACTGCCCACCAAAACACCCCGACCCAACCCGAAGTCGACGTCGGGCCTGTCAATTTCCAGCGGGGGGATGCTCTGGAGTACAGAGAAAACACCATCGGACCCGTACGCCCCCCCAACTTGACTGAAGGGGCCCCAGGACACACAAATAAATACACACAGATAAAAATATTCCACATATTTTCCCCTATTTTCTGGGTTTGTGTCTCCCCCCACTTCCCATATTTTCTTATATTTTCTGGGGAATCGACGATTAAGTGTGTCTGTGTGTTTTTGTTTCCCCTCCTGAAGCTTGACATCTGGGAGGACTCGGACCTTCGGGTTGGGTGGGGGTGGCTTAGTTCGCGAGCAGTCAGCGACGAGGAGCCTTCGGGAGGCCGAAGGACAGCACGAGGACCGCGCGGATTCCTTGTGATCGTTATCGCTGTGATCGCTGTCATCGTTGTGATCGTTGCGATCTTTATCGTTATTATCGCTGCTGTCGTTGTTAACGTTGTTAACGTTGTGATCGTTGTCATCGTTATCGTTGTGATCGTTGCTACTGCTGTTCTCGTTGTGATCGTTGTGATCCTTGTGATCGCTGTGATCGTTGTGATCGTCATCGTTGTCGTCGTTGTCCGCGCTGATTCCTTGGATTGGCGTTGGACCCCCCTGCTCCCCTCCCCTGGCGCGCGCGCGCGCCCCTGGCGCGCGCTAGCCGGAGGTTCCGCGCCAGGGGGCTCCAGCGCCGATCCGAGGAATCCGCGCGGACCTCCGGCAATTTCTTGTTCACGTCCTTGTTCGCTCCTTGGAAGCCCAATCAAGAATCGAGCCAGAGACCTCTCCTGGGGGCTCCACCCTGGCCCGTTCTCCCAGGCGGACCTGGCCGTGGCGACGAGAAAGCCTCCAGAGGAGGCCGACGAGAGCAGCACAGCTCACGCCAACGAGAGGCCCGCCGCTGTCGCGAGACGGGCCCTCCTCCGAGATGGGCGCTCGCGTAGGAGCCGGCGTCTGCGCCAGCGCCTCCCGGCGGCTCATCGGCGCGACCTCGCCGCCCTCGCCCCTGCGTAAAGGAAGAACAGCGCACGCTCAAGCTTACTGTCAGGAACTTGTGCGCAGGGTGTAGCGGCGGCGGCCCACGCGACACGCGATGCATTGCAAGCGGATAGCGTGTCGCTCCGCTCCGCGGGGCGGGAGGCTGGGAAAAGCTCGGGACGTTGACGCTTGGAGACCCCCCCAAAAATAGCGTGTCGCGCCGAAGCGTGGTGGGCCGGAATCAGCGGAGCGACACGCTGTCCAAACGATCCCGACCGTACAGGGAGGAGGGATGGGGAGGGCAAGGCGATGAAGGCGCTATGGGCTATAGGTCTGAGTGTGGGTTGTCGGACCCCGAAAAGGAGCTCCTGTTGCAGCGGGGACCCCCCTCCGACAACGCACACCAATAGCCCCTACGGAGTTCCACCCACTGAGAGATCTGGGGTTATGATGTTGCAACCTACTTAGTCTTGAACACCAGAACGAATTTCGAGCACCAAGAACGTACCGAAACTTGAAGGTTCTCAAGTGTCGGGCCCTTGGGGGCGATACTCGTTCGACAGTCTCGACACTTTCCCGTGTGCTCGAAAGTACTTTTGGGATGTGGCCCCCAAGTGCTATGGGAGCAACATAAACCTAGGGGTCGCACAGGTACGGGTGTTGACTGTCAGCTCATGGCCTACGCTAGGCACAGTACCGGGATGGGCCGACGGCCGTCAGATATCTGTCAACCCTTAGGTCGGACATGTCCCCCTACAGGCGGATTTTGGACGACAAATTCGCCGACCCAACGGGCCAGAGGCGTGCCAAGATCTCCGGCAACATGTTAATCATATAACAAACTCGCGCGCGCGAGGCGGCCCCTGGGGGCCCCGACGCGACAAGTACCCCGCCAAAGTCCCGGCAAGTGCCCGCCAGAGATGCTGGAGGCCCCCCAGACGGCCCAAGAAGCGCCCAAGACGGCCTCAAGAGAGCGCCCAGACGGTCCAAGAGCCCTTGGAGTCCTCGAAAGATCGGCCGACGATGCCACAAGATCGCTCCAAGACGCCCACCATGGCCTCCAGCCGCCCCCAAAGGCCTCCAAAAGCACTCCCAAGAGGGCCCCAAGAGGCAAAATTCACTGCTGTCCCTCAGGTTTTGGACACATTTTCCGGTTTCTTCTTTTTCGGCTTCCCGACGCTCCAAGATGGCCTAGGAGGCTCCCAAGATCGCCCCAAGAGGGTCCAAGAGGACCCCAAGACAGCCCCAAGACGGCCCAAGATGGCCCCAAGATAGCCCAAGAGGTGCCCAAGACGACCCAAGAGAGCCCCAAAACGGCCCCAGGAGGGGCCCAAGAAGGTGACTAGGAACCGAAAAGTCCAGCCTTCAGTCCCAAGAGGCCCCCAGGAGGCCCCAAGGGGCCCCCAAAAGGCCCCAAGGGGCCCCCAAGAGGCACCCCAAGAAGCCCCAAGAGGCCCCCAAGAGGCCCTAAGAGGCCCCAACACGGCCCCCAAGAGGCCTCAAAACTGCCTCCCAAAAGGCCCCTGAGGTGCCAACCACGAGAGCCCAACCAACATCCGTGAGGCCTCTGACCCGCCACCCACCGCCTCCGCAAAATGGCAGCCGCCCAACCGCACAGCATTGACAACAACACCCCGACAAACGACAGCGGCGAGGCAATATGGGCCGGCGGAATGAGCGAAGCGATTGAATAACAAATCCTCGAAAACTATTTCAAGATAGTCAACCAATGCTAGAACAATCGTCCCCTATACGACCTTTTTCTGTTTTAGAAAATTCGTCCTGTAGAGGGAGGGGCAGGCCCGACTTAAGTCAACCCACGATCGACACGTCGAGAAGAGTCGATGGCATGTCGCCCGCGTCGGCCCTGGGCCTCCCTCCCGCTCTCGCCCCTGCCCTCCCTGATCCTCCCCTTCGCGAAGCCCATCACCCCTTCCCCTTCCAGCCTGGAGGGTCAGGAGGACAAGGCGGAGGAGGAGGAAGAGGAGGAGGAGGAGGAGGAGGAGGAAGGGAAAGGGGAGGAGGAGGAGGAGGAGGAGGAGGAGGATGAGGAGGAGGATAATAAAGGGGATGGGGAGGAGGAGGAGGAGGAGGAGGAGGAGGAGGCATGGAAGTCAAGACGGACAGGGGAAACCCAGACAGCGGATCGAGGAAGGAAGGCCAGAAGGAAGGGGTCGCACAAGTATCCCAAACCCCCGACGTCATCATGATCTCTTCATGACGTCGACCTGCAGAGGTCTCGACATGTTCCCCGGGACTGGTTTTTCGTCCTGAGTCGTCTTCTGACGGTCCTGAGGCTAAGCAGGGGCCCCCATGAGAGGCCGATCCTAGTGAAAAACCTGCCGTCGTGATTTTCGTCGCTGCTCGAGGAACCCTGGGATGGGTGCCGGTTGTCAGCTCACGGCCTGCGCCACTCCACCTGCAGGGCGAGCGTGCCGTCCACCAGCCCAGCGCCGTGGCGGCGGCCAGCGCCCCGCACGACCGCCGCCACGCGGCCTGCCAGCCCCGCGGCGAGGCCCAGCCGCAGGCAGAGCATGGCCGCCGCAGGGGCCATGGTTAATGTGTAGTAATATTTGGTGCAGGAGGTGCGTGTGTTGAATGTGTCGCTGCTTGGGCCCGCACCACGACCGGGAGCAGGGGGGAGCAGCTCGCAGGCGCAGGCTGCGCTCCCGGAGGACTTCAGGACCGACAATTGGCTCCAGGGGCATGAGCTGGCTTCGCCGGCGCTGGTTTCGCTGGCGCTGGTTTCGCCGACGGCTGGTTTCGCCGACGGCTGGTTTCGCCGACGGCTGGTTTCGCCGGCGCTGGTTTCGCCCCGCTGGTTTCGCCGGCGGCTGGTTTCGCCGGCGGCTGGTTTCGCCGGCGCTGGTTTCGCCGACGCGAGCCCTAACAGGCGGGTCGGGTCAGGCGGGCGGACCCTAACGGGCGGGTCGGGTCGGGTCGGGCGGGCGGACCCTAACGGGCGGGTCGGCTCGGGCGAGCGGAACATTACACGCTCGACCGAGCACGCGAAAACCTTAACGGGCGGGTCGGGTCGGGTGGGCGAACCCTAACGGGCGGGTCGGGTCGGGCGGGCGGGACATTAAGCTGTGGGGCGCGCTCGACCGAGCACGCGCGAACCCTAAGGGGCGGGTCGGGTCGGGCGGGCGGACCCTAGCGGGCGGGACGGGTCGGGTCGTGTTGGTGGACCCGAAAGGGCGGGCGGGGCGGGTCGGTCGGGCGGGACATTAGAGTGTGGGGCGCGCTCGACCGAGCACGCGCGAACCTTCACGGGCGGGTCGGGTCGGGCGGGCGGACCCTAGCGGGCGGGACGAGTCGGGTCGGGCGGACCCCAACGGGCGGGTCGGGTCGGGCGGGCGGGACATTACAATGTGGGGCGCGCTCAACCGAGCACGCGCGAACCCTAATGGGCTGGTCGGGTCGGGCGGGCGGGCCCTAGCGGGCGGGTCGGGTTTGGCAGTTTCGCCGACGGCAGCTGGTTTCGCCGACGGCAGCTGGTTTCGCCGACGGCAGCTGGTTTCGCCGACGGAGCTGGTTTTGCCGACGGAGCTGGATTCGCCGGGCGGCGAAACCAGCCTGGCGAAACCAGCCGTTGGCGAAACCAGCCGTCGGCGAAACCAGCGGTCGCCGCTCCAGGATTGCCCCAATAGCCCAACAGCCGCCCGGAATGGCCAAAAGAGGGCCCCGAGGGAGCCTCGAAACAGCCCAAGAGGCACTCCTGAGAGACCAAGGACGTCACACTCCAAGACGACCCAGCCACTCGCAGCCCAGAGCGGGGCGAAGGCAAGCCTCAGAGGAGCCCAAGGTAGTCCACGAGCGCCCCCAGAGATACCCAAGGACGGCCCGAGGCAGCACCAACCTCCAGGCAGAGGGGGGACCCAGGAGGGGCAAGGGAAGGCGCACGCTCGACGGGAGGAGGAGTGTCAAGCCAAGCTATCCTGGCCCTGGCCCCAGCACGGCGTCCTTCCAGAGGGGGGAGGGGCAGGGGGACAAGGGGAGAATGGGGAGGGGGGGGGGGGCGGGGGCAGCACGGCTTACGGCTCGCCATGGCGAGCTCCCCAGAGCTCTCGCGCGAGACCCAGAGCACATCCAGCGAGGAGAAAGAAATGGATGGTGAGAAGGGCCAGGACAAGGACGAGGAGGGAGAAGTAGCACCCAGTCACACGCTACTCTGAGTGACTTCAAGTGGGCACCAGAAGGCCCCAGGAGGGCGCCAAGGGAACACAATGACAAACCAAGGAGGCCTTCAAAGAGGCACGAGACCGTACATTGATGCTTCAAGACGGCCCATAGGCGGCCAGAACGGCCCAACAGAGCCCCAACATAGCACCACATCTCCTAAAATTGGCCTTTCAGAGACAAAGAGAGAGAGAGAGAGATAGGGTGAGAGAGAGAGAGAGAGAGGCTCCGGACGGCAAGCGGAAACACTATCCAGGTGGGGAAGGGACCAAGGAAGGGAGGGGCGGGGAGGGGCATGTGCACGCTCAGGTGAGGGGTATGGGTCACGCACGCGCTATCCTGGGTTTGGCCCCGGCGCGACCCCGCATAGGACCCTGCCAGGCGGTACGGTGGGCGCAACACTGTTTTGGGCTCGCCCTCCAGAGCTCTCGCGCCAGTCCCAACGCCTATTCGGGATGGCGACGGTCAGGAAAAACAAACTGCATGAACGATCATTTTGTCGGAGGTCCGCTCGGCTTTCTTGGATCTGCGCGGATCTCTTGGATCGTCACAGAGCGCGCCAGGGGCGGCGCCCAAGGCGCTGCCAGACGGGCCCAAGCGCCGATCGGAGAAATCCGCGCGGACCTCCGAAATTACGGTCAGGAGCTGTTGCTTAACGTGTCGCAGCGGCGGCCCCGGCGGCACGCTAAGCATTGTAAGCGGATTGCGTGTCGCTCCGCTCCGCGGGGCGGGGGGATGTGGAAAGCCCGGGACGTTGACGCCTGGGGGCTGGGATGTGGATAGCGTGTCGCGCCGAAGCGCGGTGGGCCAGAACCAGCGCAGCGACACGCTATCCGAATGATCCCGACCGCATGTGAATGCTTTTTTTGAAAGTCGATTCGAGACCCCCGAGTAGATCCCCATGGCCCCATGAGGTCCCACGAAGATCCCGCTCGCAGCTCGCAGAGTTCCTGGGCGCTGGGGGCGGCCCAGTCGCGCCAGGGCCACGACGGCGTGCAGCGTGAAGTCGCCCATCTTCCCTGGAAAATTCCAAGCGGGTCCTGCAGAAATCACAGTGGCCACGTGTGAGCAAGAGACCCATCATATTACACGTACGTGGGGGGGGGCAGCGCCTGGAGAGATTGCGAATGCCGCTCGATGTACCGCAAGGTCGACTAGGACGACGACCACTCCTGCTCCTGATCCTCCTTCTCCTCCCTCCTCCTCCTCCTCCTCCTCCTCCTCCTCCTCCTCCTCCTCCTCCTCCCTCCTCCTGCTGCGTCTCCTTCTCCTCCTCCTCCTCCTGCTCCTCCTGCTCCTCCTCCTCATCCTGCTCCTCCTCCTGATGATCCTCCTTCTCATCCTCCTGTTCCTCCTCCTCCTCCTCCTCCTCCTCCTCCTCCTCATTATCATGATCATCATCATCATCATCAGCATCACCAGCAGCAGCATTATCACAAGCAGCGTCATCCACATCCTCCTCGTCATCAGCATCGTCATCGTCTGCATCATCATCATCATCATCATCATCAGCAGCATCAGCATAATCAGCAGCAGCATCATAATCACCATCATCATCATCATCATCATCATCATCATCATCATCATCATCATCATCATCAGCATCAGCATCAGCATCATCATCATCATCATCATCATCATCATCATCATCATCATCATCATCATCATCAGCATCATCATCATCATCGTCATCATCATCATCACCACCAGCATCATCGTCATCAGCAGCATCAGCATGACCACTTGCAGCATCAAAATCACCATCACCACCATCACCAGCCTCATCCTCATCAAACGTATCACCATGATCATCAGCAGCATCATCACCACCACCATCAGCAGCAGCATAATCATCATCCGAGTCACCAGCATCATCATCAGTAGCATCACCATCATCATCATCATCATCATCATAATCATCATCGCCATCAATATAATCATCACCAACATCATAACCAGCATCAGCATGATGACCGTCATGACTCATCAGTCTCATCACCATCAGCATCATCATCAACAACATCACCAACATCGCCATCGTCATCAGCATCATCATCACCGGCATCAGCATCACCATCACAACCATCATCATCATCATCAGCAGCAGCAGCATCATCATCACTATAGCCATCAGCATCATCATCATCATCATCACCATCAGCATCAGCATCATCAGCATCAGCATCATCATCATCATCATCATCAGCATCAACATCATCATTTTCATCTCCTCTCCTTCTCGACGGCGACGACGGCGACCCCCAGCTCCTCCTCATGGTCCCAACCCACCCTTCTCTGATACCCCCCCTTTTCCTCGACGGTGACGGCCACCTCCTCCTCCTCCTCCTCCTCCTCTTCCTCCTCTTCCTACTCCTCCTCGTCCTACATACTCCTCCATACTCCTCCTCCAGCCTCCTCCTCCTCCTCCTCCTCCTCCTCCTCCTCCTCCCCCTCGTCCATTCCTTTTCCTTATAAATTCTCCCTGCCGCACCCCGAGGCCAGCTGTTAGGGCGGGCCATGCGTTTCGCCTGAGACTTCCTCAGCATGTATGACTCTGAAGCTTAAAGACTGGCAACAGTTTCACACATGGAGGGCGGGTGGTTTTCAAAATGTGGCTCTCGCCTTCGCGCCGCGCATACTCGTATTACATATTTGCAGCTGCTTCACGGATGGAGGGCGGGTGGTTTTCAAAATGTGGCTCTCGCCTTAGTGCCGCGCACATTCGCTTTTAACAAATTGCAGCTGTTTCAAGGATTGAAAGCGGGTGGTTTTCAAACTGTGGCTCTCGCCTCGGCGCGGCGCACATCCGTTTCAACAGTTACAAGAGTTTCACGGATTCAAGGCGAGTGGTTTTCAACATGTGGCTCTCGCCGTAGCGCGGCGCACATTCCTTTTGCAAATTTGCCAGAGTTTCACGGATTGAAGGCGGTTCCCTTTCAAACTGTTGCTCTCGCCTTAACGCCGCGCACATTCGCTTACAACATGTGCAAGGATGTTCACGGATTCTCCGCTTTAACGCACCAGAAGTGGTGTCTTGGGAAGGTTCAGGATCATGCATGTGCAACAGTTACATTGATTCGCTGCGCTGAAGTCCTAGGAATCGCGTTCTGGCGTGATTCAGGATCGCCAAGGCGCAGCAATCAGGTTGATCCATGGCGTTGTAATCCTGAGAATAATGGTTTGGCGTGCTTCAGGGTCTTCAAACGGGTGTCTTCCACCGAGGCAGTTCCATCAATGGAAATGAACCGTTGTAGGGGCCTATGAAGAGGGAGCTTTGAGGGAGGGCTTACTCCAACATCGTTGATGACTCTTGGGTTTCTGGTCCTCCTCCTCCTCCTCCGTTCTTCCTCATCTATCCCTCCTTCACTCCCTCCTCCCCCCTCTCTCCCCCCTCTCTCACCTGTCGCCCCTCTTTTCGTCCGCCGTCTTCCTTCCTTCGTCATCTTTCCTCCTTTCTCCCCCCCCGCAACCCCCCCCTGCTCCTAGAAGACAACGGCCCCCGCCGCCTCGTTTTC